TGGAGTGCAGATGTTGCGACGTTATTAAAAATAAAATATCGGAAAATAATGAAGGAAAGGCCCTGTATTCATGGAGTGTAGAAATTAACTGTAGTTTGTTTTTTGTTCTTATTTATTCGAGCAGCTTATTTTTGACTCAACCCAACCAAGTCACAAAAAAAGAGAGTATAAGGACATAGCAAGATATCAATTCTTCCGATAATATAAGTTATAATGTGTGCTGTTAAATAATCAATTGCTAAATTATAAAAAGAGATTCTAACAATTCTAACTGTAATTTCGCGATAATCTACTGTGGAGTTATATAGTTTCCAAACATTATATATCCGCGTGGAGATATGCCGACGGTGTCATGTCGCTATGCCTTCTGCCCTACTTCAATTAGTCCAATAATATCTTCTACGGCGCAAAATAAGGCAGCCAGTTATCTGACTTTGATTCTAAGATTCTAATTGTTGGCATTTATTTTTTGTACACTTATTTAGTATATTAAACAAGAAAGGAATGCTAAAGTCGAGCAGGCTCAACTCTTAAATACCCTGTACCACCCCACAAAAAAGTAATTAAATTAATTAAATTAAATTAATTAATTAATTTAATTTAATTAATTAACTAAATTAATTTAATTAATTAACTAAATTAAATATAAAATATTTCATGCATGCATAGATACATTTACATTTACATCAGAATCGTGCCTTATGCGTGTTTGAGTACTTGTACATATGTATGTATGTGTGCATTGGGCCTGGTTATATGGCTATAACTTTCTTTCTGATCATTCTTTCATAATGAAACTTGGTATACGGATATATAATTACTAACCTAATGTGACTACCAAATTTTAGTTCAAAATTCCAAGAATTACGGGAGTTATAGAAAATCTTGAATAGGGGGGGAGTGGGGGGGTGGATCAGAAAAAATGAACAAACTCGTCCTTTCTCGGTCTCAGGAGAATCTGTATACCAAGTTTGGTTATTCTAGCTCTTATACTTTCGGAGATCCTTGCGTTCATACAGACAGACAGACGGACAGACAGACGGACAGACAGACGGACAGACGGTCAGACGGACAGACGGACAGACGGACATGGCTATATCGACTCGGCTTGTCATGCTGATCAAGAATATATATACTTTGTGGGGTCTACCAAGCCTCCTTCTGTGTGTTCCATGTGCACTCGCACAAAACTAATATACCCTTGTACCCTTTGGGTACAGGGTATAAAAATATATATACAACTAATTCACGCGGTAGATTGGTTCCTAAAGACATTGATCATATGGAAAATGAATCGTGCTAAATGGAATAAAGTCGTGTAACCATCTATAACATTTTTAATTTTCAAACCGCGTTAAATCAAAACCGTGTAAATAAATACCGTGTAAAACAGAATTAGGTGTATATGTCTTCTGATGACAATGAATTGTATTTTCCAGTCATTATTGCACAAAATAATTATAGTTCAATCGAATGGTTTCGTTGGTTGACGGCAAACCCACTGTGCGCTGCTCTTGGGCGGCTTAAAGGAAATGCAGAACTCAAATAAACTGACAAGCAATAGGATTGGGTTGGACGGCCGAGTTCGACAAAGTTTGCTGAAGTTGTAGTCTATTTTAATGGCAACGAACTTGGATTGTCTGCCAACTGCTTTGAATATTCATTTTGCGCTACTTTGCACTACTTAGGAAGCGCAGTTCGAGTGCACTTAGTTACAATTTGAGTTCGTCAGCTGTTTCTGTTCGTTCGACTACTTCTAGTGAGCCGTTGAAATGAAAGGCATCCAACGAAGCTTAAGAATTGGCAAAAGTTTCATTTTCCCGTGGTTACCTTGGGGTTTGGCTCACTTGTAATTTTTGGTCAATTTTGGACTCGAGCTACACTTGCTTTCATTATTGAAACTGAAATATCTTCGGCTGGCAGCTTATGCTAAATAATTAAAATGAATGTCTTCATTTGATGCCATATCGAATAAGGCGCCATGAGCCCGGTCTTTGCCAGTTTATATTGGCCATTTGGCATTAAGGCACTGCCGTCACAGCAGCCGGGCCCAGTAGACCAGGCACTTACGTCTTAATTGGCGGCAAAGTTCCTAGAAACAAAATATTATTTTATGTATGCTGCGCCGCTGAAATTAAGAAAACTTTCGAAGCTACAGAAGCGCTGTCGGCTTAGGCAATACAGTCGCGGGCTTGGCCTTTGGCAGTGCGCAGCACTAATGAGTGTATTGTTTGAAAGATAAAACGCTGGTAATGGCTGTGGGTGGTCGGAAGAGGCATAGGGATATAGCACGCAACGAAAATCGAAGTTGCTGTGCTGGATGGTAGTGGGGGTGGGGGTGGCGGCAAAGGGTTGGGGCTCCGGATTCGCCAAAAGGCAGTGTATTCGAAATAAGCTGCGCGTGTGTCGAATAAGCTGCTGTTCAGCCCAACGATTGGGCTATTAGAGTGGATGGAAAACAGTACTCGAACAAAAGGAGAGTGGGTGAGTCAGATTTTGCGCTTGTCTTATCATATTAATGTTATAAATTCCATATATTCTCGTATATTGCAATGCCAGCTATATTGATTTACAAAAATGCCGAAAACATTTGTGTACATTTGTTTGCGGAATTTGTTGCAAGTGAGATCAGAGCGGCAGCTGCAATCTGAATGGTCGATTACTAAGGTGAATAAATAAATGAATCGTAGCCGGCCTTCAGATTAACAAAATATAATACAATTTATTAAAATTACTCCGAGTTCAAGTTACACAAGGCGCTGTTGGTTCCTATTACTCACATAGTTATATTTAGTATAATGCAGTTAAGTAAGACAACTTAAACAACTTTTTGCACATAATCTTAATAAATGTGCTCAGGAGCAATAGGCAATCAGGATTGCATTAATATAGATATATCCAGAGTCAACAAATTATATGTAATAATTTTTGATGATTAACCAATTTAAACAAAAAGTTAAAAAAGGCTCGTGTTGCTTCGAGATTAGGAGATTCTATATATTAAGTTTAATAAAAGTGTGCTGGTACTTATGGGGTCAAAAATGCTAATGACTGCCTATTCCTCAAACTTAATATACCCTTCACCAATAATTGACTTAATGTCGGCCATTTGGGATAGACTGATTTCTGTAAATTATCTTTGAAGATCGTCACCGATTTCTCGCTGCGTATAGTTTATATAAGTGGACAGAGAAGTGGAGTAATTTAGCTGCTCCGGCAGGAAGCTGAAGGCAATGTTTGTTGATATAATTGCCATTATTTTGCATCACCTTATTTTATGCATTACATTCATTTTTCAAATATTTATTCCATAAATTAATAATTTTTAAAATTAAGGCTTTTAGTCGCATTAATTTTATTTAATTTTTAATTTTTCGGAATCGAAAATAGCTAGATATTTAAAATGAAATTTATAAATATATGAATCACAATGTAATTTATACATTTCGTGCGTTTTAGAAACATTTATTCCATAATCTTAAACTTTTATACGATTTTGATATAACACGGATTCAAAATGAAAAAGTGCATCCATATTTCTTTAGAGATAAGAGACAAATTACGTATTTTTGCATATGATCAATGTATTTTTATACACGGCTGTTTCTGGATCCAGTCTACCGTGTAAAAACAGAATTAGGTGAACATTACAATTAAAAAAAATACAGACGAATTGATAACCTCCTCCTTTTTTGGAGTCGGTTAATGAAGTATATAAGTATTTTACTTTTTCTTTATTCATTTTTAGTGTACATATACAAGTACATATGTAAGCGGGCGATATAGAGCAGAGTTCATAGCTCTGTCTTGCAGTTTATGAGTTAGTTCAGCAGTCGAAGCTCATTGCAGTGGAAGTGTCCAGTGGATAGAATGCATTAAACGATTAAAATACTCCCGCATATTTTTACGATATATCTGATTGCTCGTCAGCCACAATTAATATTTGGGGTTGTTCTGTCAATAGCCGCAAATTAATATGAACGCTGCATTAGCATACCTACTTATTACTATCCATTATGTATTCATTCGGCTAAAATATAATTTTTTCAAATATACATGAAATAATATTCGATTAAATATAATTTCTTTTCGAGCACATGAAACAGCGTTTTCTGTTATTTATTAACCAAGCACGTCCCACATCCACCGTCAAATCCATTCAATTACACTTTCATGAAACCACATACTCGTGCTATACTCGTATAAATGAAATAGAAGGCCATTTACACAACCACATTTATATCAAACGAGTAGTTTTCTGGCGATTCAACCCAAAAATTCAGTTAATTGCTTCACTTAAACAAAATTAGTTTTATATAAACTTTTGTTGAGCAGCCGGGCGCACTTTTGTTTGTTTACGTTTTCTTTATAAACGGAATGAAATGTAATTAAATTTTGGCATTTCGTTTAATTGAGTTTTAAGCCGCAACTTTTTGGGCCAAAATTGAAAGTTGCCTGCTGCCCAACACCAAGCAGTCATCCTCCCGCTCATACTATAGCTGTACTACAAGTATAAGTATCTCCTTGATGCTATTCCGAAGCTGTGGCTGTTGCTGTCATAAAGAAGGCGCTTGGTACATTTTTTTGCGGTTCCGTCGCATGTTTTATGAGCAGTACGACTGGGCTTCGACTGTTTGCGCTGTAATTAAGTGCGTCTAATTTGTGTTAAGCGTTGCGTCGCACTTGAACAGTGTTTTATGCGCCACAACTTCCTAAGTTAAGCCCCAGCCAGGGGTTGGCGCGTCCACCAGCACCTCCTGAAGGTGAAGGTGAAGGGATGCCGACACGTGACGTTTACGTTTTAAAGGTTGGTGGAGTTGGTGTACCAAACCGTGAGGCAAACTGGCGTTAAATTGCCGCTCGGTTGGGGATTTACGTCAACGTTAATGTTACCGTTAACGTTGGCGTGTGTAAAGCAAGCCTCACAGGTGCAACGAGGCGTATGAGTAACTACTTCAAACGTGTCCTGCTCCACGTGTTGCCCTTTGGCACACACTTACCTGTACAGCTGAGCAACAATTTATATTTGAAGCCGAGTGATTTGGTCTTCGAACTTTCCACAATTGCAAGTAAGACACAAATTCAACAACTGGTGTGTGTGGTTTTAATTTAGCACAATTTTTACGCACTACGGTAGCTGTTCACGAACTTTGCCGGCGTTACACTAGGCTGTTCGATTTTAAGTCTGCGCCTGAAAGTATGCCCAACTATATTTTGGCGGACGATGCTTCGGTTACGCGTACGAAACGGCAACTGTTTGCGTTTTATCAGCGCAGCATGTTTTAAGGGTCAGTGTAAAAGCTTTCGCGTGAGCTTTTAAGAGACAGAGTCGCTTAGACCAAAATTTAGACCAGTTTGCCATTGGCTGTCGTCGGTGGCGTTACCGTTTGTTTACTGCCAATTGTTTTAAGTGCATGCACAAGCATATGCACATACATACTACACGTATGTATGTATGCATATGTATGTACGTGGCAAAAATGCATATAGTATGCACTTATGTGCATAAGGATGTATTTTCTGTGCACTTTTTCATTTTTTGCGTTTGGCATCTGTTTGTTTCTCTAAGCTGAAGGTGCAAAAAGGCAGCCAACAAAACTAATGCCTAAGGGGACCTCAAAAATGCATGCAAATCATTTGCCGCCCATAAATTAGCCATGAGGCGAGGCACACTCCGTGCACTGCTGGCCATCGAAGCATATAAACTTCAATTTATCTTGACGTGACTGGCAAGCGGCAGCAGCAAAAACAGCATCCTGCAACGGGTGCCTTCGATTGGGCCTGCACACAACTTGGTCTGTTGAGCGACCAAGTGAGAGTTATTGTATGTGTGAGCATTTTGCTGCCTGCTACCTGCAGTTTCGCAGTTGTATACTCTTCCATCGCAAATGGGAGTAGAGGAGTTATCTATCGCAAAATGTCGCCAACGTTACTTGTATGTGTATATTTCTAAAAATTGTTTTTAAAGAAATACAGCAATAGAACTTTTCTAAAGCGATTGCAGAAGTTCTTTAATCCTGTTTTTTTTTTTTGCCCATAAAAACATATAAAAGTACTATAAGACTATAGTACATCATTGGCTAAGGTTAGTCAAGACACCTTCCAAAAATGTTACCATGTCTCATGCAAAATTTGATCGATGTCGAGTATCTTAACAATATTGAAATTACTGTACTCCCTGATTTTTTATGCTGTTTTCTATCTATCAAGCGAGCGAACAGCTTCTGTTAAAAACAGGGACCGCAAATAAGAATTATTTTGTTTCTTTTTTTCAAATGAAAAAATCATTTACTTATATTAACTTTGAGAAACCGAGGAATTCACAAATATCCGTTATCTCTGCATTTGAGATTTGAAATTTTAATTTTTATTAATTCTCTCAAAATTTGATGATTAATTCAAATTTTTACTAATAATACTTGTTTTTCAGCAAAAAAATAAAAGTCGTAAAATAATGATTATTCTTTGAATTTTATTTTTTTTTATCAAAAGTAAAGCTGTAATTTTGCCCGAAAATTTTTTTACGACGATTTTTTTAAGGCCTAAACTGTACTATAGCGATTCGTCTTGGCTTATTATTTAAGGATATAAATGTTATCCTTAATCCCTATGAAAAAAGCAGGGACAATAACAAGTTCAGGTTTATTTTCGATAAAAAAAATAAAACTTAAAGATTAATTCATTATTTAATGAGTTTTATTTTTGTTTTTCGTCAAGAAATAATGATTATTCGTTAAGTGGAAAAGTAAAACTCAATTTTTATCATTATAATACGTTGTGAGCGAATGAATAACAATATTTTGTAATTTTACATTTTAACATTTATAATGATTACAGTCTCTGGTTAAAAATCGTATGCACATAAGAAGTATAATTATTGCTTTTCTTAAGTCGGCAAGGGTATCCGATTTTCGATGCATCTAGAGGGATTTTTGTTTGTGTTTTTTCATGTGTGTGGTTTTTTTTGTGTGAGTGTGCGTTTGAAGCGGATACGGAAATGCCACTGAAAAAGGTCATCATGGCTGCTGCTGCTGTTACTGCCGCTGTCTGAGGCAACGTTCTCCAGATCCTTGCGAATGAAAATTTATACAATGCACCAAAAAAAAAACAAAAAATATAAATATCGATTAGCATATCACCGGCTGACAACGTCTGAAGGCGACGGCATTGAACTTGCGCAGCCCCATAACCTTCAAAGTGCCTGCTGCTACTGTGGTTGTTGTTGTTGTTGTTATTATTTACCAACAACAATAATAGTTGCTGCTATTATAATGTTGTAATTATTACATGCTAGTCGCATGGCAGGACCTTTACACCTGAATGCGCAATCAAGTGCCGAGTGTGGAAAGTTGCGCTGCTGCATTGGGCAAAGTTTCGAAGGTTCCACGAGCGCGCGCATATTGTGGTTTCGGGTCGGCTGCTCCACTCCAATAAACGATTGTCTCAATTCATTTTACGCCACAGTGCGTGTCAAGTGGAGCGATCCATGCAAAAAAGGGTTTCGGGTTTGAGGGCCTCAGGCGAAAACTGCAAGCGTCGCAGAACATAAAACGTAGACGATGTCGCGTCGCAGTCTTCGCTGCTCGGCATCATTACAATTTGTTGATTTGCTTCGTTAAACAGCAAACAACAGAGCGACCCAAGAAATAAAAAACAAAAAAAAAAAAAAAAAAACGAGAAGCAACTGAAATTGAAACAACAGCGTGCTGAAAGGATGAAATAAAGTAACAAAAACAAAAACAGCAACAATACTTGTAAGAAACACAAAAAAAGGAAAACCAAGGGGACGGCTCGTATATACAAGTATAGTTGTATGTACATACTCGTAGAAGACGATTTCGACTTAGAAGAAAGAGCTAAGTCAGCCTAAAGCATTTAATGGGAGACCGTGTTCTGAGCTCGGCTACGGGTACCAAATGAAGATATGCCACTTTTTCTGCTTTCTCCTTCTTTTGTTTCGGTCCTTGGCATTAAAAACATTGCACGGTTTTTATGTGGCAAGTCGACAACAGCTTCAAAGGCAGTCCCGCGAGCATCAAAATCCGCCACGACAAAGCGACGACGGCTGAAGCCCCTGGCGATTCACGTTTGGTTTGCCGGCAAGCAATCAGAACGAGCGCAGCAACAATAAGAAGGGCAAGCATTCCATTGGTCCTGGTGTTGCTTTATTAAACAAAGCTTTGTGGGTTCCCGCCAACAAAAATCTGTGCCCACTTTAATGGCGCCGACTGTCACTTCAGCGTCAATCTGTGAGGTGGGAACCAATCTCTGACAGTGCAGATGGCCTCTCAACGTTCACGGATCGCATAATAGGCTTAGGACAACTACAATGGGTTCGTTTGAAACAGATTTTCATATTATCCGAGTAATAGGAACAAACCAATATACTTTGTCAAAAGTAATGTGAAATACTTCAGTTGATTGCGGGGTCAGGAACTAAAGCATTGATACTGACATCCATTATGTTTCCCACATGTCTAGTTAATTTGAATCGATCAGATGTCTTCCTCTACATTTAGTTTTAATGAAATGTGACAGTGTACTACAAATCATTGCTTGCCTATTTCACATTCAGTTTCATGATTCTATGGTCACAGAAATTGCATCATTAATTAAGATAACAATGTTTTCAATATGGGATTGGAAGGGACATCTTAGAAATAAAAACTCTTCATACAAGGTGGATTTTAAAATCATATCGTTTCTATTACAGCTATGAAATACTTAGTTGTTGGATCTAGTAGGGACAACCAAAAGAAGCCTCAATGCAAAGCTTTATCCCAAAAACATTAAACTTGTATTGAAGAAAGATTTGTATTCGTAGTACTCGTACGTTAAATAATGTGCCCACATACATACATACTTATATGTAATTTGTAGTGTACATGCCATATAGTTTATTAACTAAATTAATAAGGAATACTGGGTTTCGTATACGTGCACATAAATAATAATGGCACTATATAGAAAATTATAAATAGAAAAGCCTTTAATAATATTTATTCACCGCTCATTCTACAACTAAGAATTTATTGATACTGAAAACGAATAATTGACACAAATCTCAAGTTTCTTTATTTGACATAATCGTATTCCCATACTCACGCCACGTGCTCATCTCTAATTTCCGTATGCCATGGTTTTTTGTTTGCTGTTTTCTGTAACTGCAACTCGTGCAGGCTTCTGTTCTCCTGCCAGGCTCATAAAATTAGATTTATTTGCAAATTATAACTGAAACTGCCGCCACCGCTGTTTGGTTCACTTTCGTTTTTTATGGCTCGCCAACGGTTATGTCATAAAAACTGTTTAAACATGTCACTTCTCATTTATGCCATAATTCATTGAATACTTTTAGGGTCCTGGTGCTGCAGGTGCGCTTAAAAAAGCCACAACTTGTAATTAGCGTTTAATTTTGCAACGGAATAAAAAAGGGTTGACGACCTTATAAAATTAAGTGGTAAGTAAATGTGCGGCAGATTTTGTTTTGATATGATTTTGGTTCAGTCCATGGGCCCATGGACAGAAGGGTCACTTTGACTGATGACCGCTATAATGTCTTTTGATGAGCCACCATTTTAATGATAAATTGTTGCAAGATGTGTTTACGTTAGCTCCGAACACGGCATGGAGGCTTTACTGCCAGGGAGCACATACATAGCTTATGTGCCCTTGGAGGTATAGTGTTCGCCCTTACAAGACATAATGGATAAACGTAAGTTTACAAAGGTTAGATGTAGATAGCGCGTTAGTTCCTGGATGTTGAAAAACAAACTAAGTTGTTCACAGCTTGTCGCATTTCAAGTTTTAATTACTGAGTCACATGAATTGTGTGATAATGAAATGGCAACATTTCAAACTAAATTCGTAATAATTCACATTGATGACGAATATATTAAGAGCTTAGGATCCGGCAACAGACATTGCTTGCAGCCAACGTTGACAGCTACATACTTGTACGTATTTAAATACCCAGGAAAATATATCAATAAATTGTTGTAAGTGCAAAAAATGTAATAGTCTGCATGACAAGCATCTCCGGCCGCATGAATATTATAAATTTTTAATAGGAATAACAGGATTTAAGTCTGAGTAGGCTGAGCCTACATTGACCGAAATGCGGTCTGTTGGGGC